GCCTGGGATGTGGTTGTTAGTAACAGAAGATGAGATACGCAGTGTTGTGAGGTGTTTTGCTGGATGCGTTTTGACATGCTAGGCTCATTGAACTTTTGTTGACAGTTGACTGTATTTTCCTGGTTCCTACACTTTTATACACGCTGTTCTTAAGGAGCTTGTGTGTGTGGTTTATCCAGGCTCCTGCAGAAGGACATTTCTCTGCAGCAGAGGTAGGAGCGAAGGGTGTAGAGAGGGAGCAGTGGGAATGTGTAGGGGTATATGTGAAGAAACTGAGAACCATTCCTAGGTGTGGATATGAATCTTTAATTTGCCTCAGAAGAYGGATAAAAAATTGGATTTTCATAGTAGTGATTTGGAAATTACTGTTTGTATTTGTACAGTGAGTAGAATTGTTAGAGATGATACAGTGGCAGGGATTCATTGAAAGCCATGCAAGTTGGACTCGGGAGAAGGTAAAAAGYAAAAGCAAAGAGACTTCCGACTTGCTCGGGAGTCCCTGGAATTGCCCTCCCTGGGCTGCCCCTGTGCAGCTGCTGGAGCCTTGGTGCCCTTTGCTCTTCCCTGCGCTGGTCAGTGCTCGTCCTTCTGCGGAACTTGGGCAGGGAKTTTGCCTGTGTAAGAAACGAAGGGTCGAGCATTACAGCTTTTGTCTGTTCTCTGAGGATGCAAAGCACTGTACRTGTCAGATTAGAGGCCTGAGTGATACTTAATCCTCAGGTGTTTAGAGTGAGGTTGTTGATTTTGTTTTTGGCCCCAACGGATGTTGTAATTAACAAGCTCAATCTGCATGGYAAAAATGGGAAAAGAATCAAGTTCTGATGGACATGCTGCACCCAGGTGTGCTCCTGTCTCCTCCGAATGATYTGGGAAGAAAACAGATTTCCTTGATGCATCATTTAGGAGTTACATGGACTTGACTACATCTGCAAGGCCCTTTCCAGCCTCAATCATTCTGTGATGGATTTGCAAGTCCTTGTGACTTTGGTTTCTCTCTGAACATCACAGCAAACACTAATGCAGTTTGAAGCAGCTGGATGGCAGTCGGCCTTTGAAGGAAGTGAGGTTTCTTTGAAAGCGTTAACGATCTTTTATGTCTCAGACATAAGAGATGCTTCTGCCTGGGTCTGAGCAGCCTTGCCTGAGTCCTGGATGACTTAGCTCAGCTCTATCCTGTAGCAGTGGTGTGCTGGTTAACCCATGAAGTCTGCACGTTTTCCCCAYGTCCTATGGGGCATGCACAGGAGAAACTGGTCTGTTTGCATGGGGTGGAACTGCCTGATGTTGTGAGACATACGGAGTGCCTGAAGGGTTTACTGCAGGCAAAGGGGAGCGGGGAGTAGAGGGAGCAGTTGCACCTTGTTCAGAGGCTTAAACTAGCTGTTTAACTTTTGTTCTCTAAAGCTTGGCTTGAAGGAAAAAAGAACATTAAGTCTGTGTCTGTCTGTCTGCATGCACATGCAGGGCTTGGAGTGGTGAGCTCCCTCATTTTCCTTTTATATGCAGTATTGATRCATTAATTACATCCAATGCCTGATACCTCCTGTGCTTAAGATGATTTGTGAAGACATTTTATTTACAATTTTATGAACCTAGTTGTAATGGTTTTAAAATGTTCCTGCCAAATTAGCTGTGCAGTGATCTGTCATGTGAAAAGTCTTTACAAATTTATACCGAGCATTAGAGTATGGTCTTGTCTCATCTGGCTTCTCACCTCTAGGACCTCTGGAGCTCTTTTAAAATCCAGCAAAAACTTGATTTAAAAGATTGTTTCATTTTTCATACCTTTGAAAACTCTTTTGCATAATTAGATACTGTCAGCAGTTTGGATGGGAGTCAGTTCCCTTAATTTAGTAATAGTGTTGCTGTAGCCAGGATGGTCTAAAAACCTAAGACATGATTCYTTGATACAGGTAATTTCAAGGTTTACAGTGTAGTCTCAATGCCAAAGTTAGCCTTTGAAGTGAGGGAGCTTTGCTTTTACCTAGCTGTAGATACTTAAGATGTTCCTTTTTTAAAATATTTGGAGGAGCGGTGAGGGCTCTCTGCTGGAGAGGCCCGTCTGCCAGCCCGGCAGCCCCGGGCAGCGAGGAGCCGCCGGGCGGCCGCGCGAGGCCTGCGCTCCTGCTCCCACGGAGCAGCCCGGCCCGTTCCCAGCTCTCTGTGCCTGAGGCCCCTGGCCTCCCGCCGTGTCGGGGCATCCTGGGATTTGCCACGTGGATGTGCCACACAGCCGGCTCGGCATTCCTGCTGCCCTTGTGTCCCCGGCAGCGCCCGCCTCCCCGTGCGCCCCTCCGCTCCCTTGTCCTGGTGGCGCTTCACCTTCGGGACAGGCTTTGGGACAGATTTCTGTTACGCACCTTGTGCCACTCCTACCTTTTACATGGGATACCTAACACCAGAAAACCTTCTTTGGGGAAACAGGGCTCTGTTTYGCCACAGACGAAAGGACTGAACGTTGATGAGGAATTTTATCTTTATTTCCATGATGTTAGCACAATAAACTCACACAGTAGCATTGATCTGTACTTATTTAACAAAATACATTTATAGCAATTTACAAATTCTTTTCCATTTGAAAACATTGCATAACATTTTATTAAACACAATACTTTATATAGAGAATTCTCATTTAAAAACATAGTTTATTTTCGAGTATTTTGTTTTCTCAGTAAAGCACAGCCTAACAAAGAAATTCGTGCCTGTTAGCAAGTAAGAAAATTAGAACACTAAGAAGATGTCACCTGTCGATTTATTTGATTAATTTTAAATTAAGGTATCAGTGGAATGTAAACAAAGAGTAATTTTACAAAAAGGCTCCATATCAAATATACATGCAGAGGTCTGAGTTCCAATGTATATATTTATTACATTTCTGTTCTCTAATGTAATATAATTTGATAAGCCATTATTAAAAACAGTAGCCTTTGGCACTTTGAGTAAAAAAAGAATATATCAATATTTATGTAAAGAACACAATTTCAATGAATACACAAGTGCTTTAAAATCTTTTGTTAAGAAATAGGAAAGTTTAGGAAAAATATCATACTGCACTTGAAATAGTGCAGCAAGTTTTAGAGTAATAAAATCAACACATATGCCAATATATATCTGACTAAAACCAAGGAATAAAGAACAAACACTCCCACCAGGAATCCTGCTGTTTCCAAAACAGCTAAATTGCCAGAGGGAACATTTTCTAATCTTTGCTTTATTGCCATTATTCTCCATTTCAATTTTCCATTATTTCCAGGTTCATCTACTTACGTTCCTTCCCCTGCACTTACAAACTAAGAAATGATTGCATCTTACTTCCCTGCATTGATAGGCCAACAGTGGTTGTGTCTTACCTATTCTGTTAAAGCTAATCCTACCCGCTTTATCACGTACCTGAACTAGGCTCAATCCAAAGGGTTTTGTTCATGACAACCCAAGTGTTTGTAATTCCTAGGAACACTGTACAAAATTTAATATTAAATACCAAGGACTAAAGATTCATTTATTTAAAAAGCAAAAATAAATCTTGACTTGTAAATACTAGAGTCTGAGAACACAGTTTTAAAAAAATTATCTTTTTTTCCCCTAGTATCTTTGATTAATTTTCCCAGTTACTGTGCCTTGAGATAACATTCAACATATACAACAGATTGCAACCCTACTGGCGATTTCCTTACATGTGTTTTCCTTCAAAATACCCCCCCCACACACACATTCGATGTGTGATGGGATTTTTGCCTGTTCCTAGCAGGGTGGTCATTTCTTTAAGATCCAACCCCCTTCCTCAGCAGTGGGGATGGGCAGTGAGGGAAGCTCTGCTTGCCAGGCCTGGCTGGTGGTGCCCAGCTCAGCCCGGAGCATCTGTGTAACTGGGAAGGTATATAAAGCTTTCTGTGAAAAGGGACTCCGAGTCCCTTCTTCTGTGCAGGCTGGCAAGCACCGTCCTCTGGCTTCTGAGATTGCTTAGGATTGGGCTCGGGTTTGGTATTTTGGATTGTTTTTCTCTTGCATGTGTGTTGTGCTATTTACCTTCTTAGGATGGGATCATTCTTCCTTCTGGGTGTGTTCCCCTTCTCCTCAGAGGTCTGTGGAGTAAGGTTTGTAGGCAGGTCCTGGCTATGTATTAGTAAGTGGTACCCTGAAGTGGAAGAGGACTTAGAGCAAGTCATCCCACAAAAAAGCCCGAGGACAGACCTGAGCTGCTACTGCCCGTCCAKTGACGGGACAGTGAAGCCATTCCCCCCATCCTGGAAGCCATCTGACGGCAGCTCTCCTTCAGGCAGGACAGAATGAGGAAATGCACTGGACTTCCTTGTGAATTAAGTTATTTAAGCCAAATTAAAATGAGTTTGTCTTCTAGCATAATCAGGACATGTCATGATTTTTCCTTTTAGAGTTCGCTAGATCATCCATCCCTGGCAATACAAATTTTAAGCAGGTCAATTCTTTCTTTATATTATAAGCTCAATTTACTAAAATAATCCATATTCTCTCAGGTGCAGAGACCCTTTGTATTATTAAGTGGGGAGAAAAATATAATGTTTAAGGAGGGTCTGTTGGAGGGCCTCTCTAGGGGGGTGAACAGCAGCGGCGGCACCGTGCAACACTCCTCAGGGATCCTGCAATACCAAGGCATTCCGTCTTTAAAGCGAAGCGTAAATTCCCCAAGTGATGGTCCCTGGGCTGAAACTTGTGATTGTTCTTGTGACGTGTAAGCAAGTGAGGTGAGTAACTGCTGCTGTGAGCTAGAGTATTACTTGTGGTGTCCTTGGAGGCTGAACAAAAAGTGGCAGTTTATTTTGCTCTAYGTATGGCTCACCTTTTGTGTTTGTGCATCTCACTGTTACTGGTGTCACACGTCATGTAGGTAAAAACTAAAGAAAAATGGAAGGGTTGCTGAAGGACAGAATGACAGATTTAAAAATGCAAAATCTGAATTACTTTTAGTGCTTTAAAAGACCCCTTTAAAAACAATATTTAAAACAGTTCTACAAGTTAGCCCACTAAGAAGCAGCCTCTTCATTAGTAGCACCTGTTCTTAAACAAAAGTTGAGCAGTAGCAGCAAAACTATTCAAAATAGATAGTTATTCCATTCTAATGGAATGTCACCCACACATTTTGTTGCAGTAGACATCTTAAAAGACTACACAAAACCTTTGCAATCTTTGAAAGTGACAGATCCACTATAACAAAGCTGTAAATATTTCCTACTCTAAATGAATGCAGCCAGCATCATCATAGTATTAGCAATATTACTTTTAAAGTAACTGCACATCAATATGTCATGTGTTTGTAGAGTCTAGTAAGTTTGCAAATTTTCAAAACATTTAAAGTTAGTCAGCACCATCCTGTATTAAAGTTTTGGTGCAAACTCTGCAAAGGTGAATAATATAACACTGATACAGCCTTTGCTGTGAAAAATTCAGTTGATTTTGGACACAAATATAAATAAAATAAAAAGTTGGCACATTCAGAAAATAAAGTGTGTTCAAGACCAATGTTTTGATTGACATCATCATTCTCAGATAAGCTTTTAGAGTCTGAAGAAACAAGTTGCATGAAAATGTTTCACATTAGTTAGGTTCTGGCATTGTGCTTTTTCCCCCACCACATGATTAGCACAGGTTCATGCACGCTAATGTCATCAGTGTTCAACAGATGTTGGGCTGATGGTCAGTAGCTTGGCACATCAAAGGTGAGTATCGGCTCAAAACAAGGTGAGCAGAACCTGTATCCAGATGCGTTTTACTCAGTGGTGGTGTGGACCAGCTGATATGTCTCCTCATTCCTTGTAAGCTCGTGTGGGGGATGTTCCTTTGTAGAAGATATTTCTGGTGTTCTCTGGACTGCTCCCTCGCTCAGGGATTAAAATTATGTTAGCTTTTCTCCGAAGTGTTGAGTCCCGGCTAGAAGAAATGGACAGAGTCTCTGAGCCAATCTCACTGCCCTCCACTGGCGTGACTCTTATTGTGGTGATTCCGTGGTGGTGATGCTCGCTGTTATCTATGTTGCTCCTTTTCCTGTCCCCCGACCCATAACTGTCTTTCAAGGAGTCACAGCTCTCGGAGTCTCTGTTGAGATCGTTTAGCTCATATGTCTGACGAAGGGTGATTTTTTCAGGGCCTTTCCATTTCCATGACCCGCTTCCTTCACCTTCGGATGGCATCTGAATTACAGGTCTGTTATTTTCTGGGTGGGCCTCAACTCTGACAATGCTGCTTGGCTCATGGTCTGTCAAGGTTTTATATCTAATGGCTCCTGTGCAAGTGACCGTGCTTCCCTCGGAACTCTTCGGGCTGCCCTGAAGCACTCCTTGCTGCTTAGACATGGCTATTACTTGCATGATTCTTGGCTGACTGTTGCTTCTACATGCAACACTCTTCTCAGCAGCTTTCAGCCATTTAGCTCTAGCTGAACTACTTTTGGGAGATGTGTTCACATTTTCCTGAGTTTCTTCAGGAATATGCACTAACTGAGATGAGCCAGGACGTGACTGAATAGAAACCCTGGGCCCACCAGAGTTGCAACCCGGGACATTACCGGGTTGAATCTTCAGGTATTGGTTAGTTGGGCCGTGGTGATCCCCATTTACACCCACTCTGGAGGGCTCTGAGCTTGACCTCATTTCAATAGCTCGTGGTGGCGACTGGCCAGATTCAGTCTCTATGACCTGCAGCGACAACTTCCGGCTTTCATTTTTGTTCTTCCACTGGGAAAGCAGTTGTTTGGAGCGGGCAGAATCCATTGACGCGTGAATTGTTGCGTTTCTTCTTGCTGGGTCTTCCAAGGACGGTGTGTTGACTCTTGGCAAAGTGTTGCTGAAAGTAACCATGTTTTCCTTTCCCATTGGGCTTCGTGGCGTTATGATTTCTACGTCAGCATTTGCTCTCTTGATGTTAGTCAGAGAGCCTGCATCTCTGTGGTTCCTATTGAGCATGCTTTCAGAGCGGTGGGTGGCGATGCCGTCGCTGCCGCTCCCGTTTTTACCGGGCAACATTCTGTTGGCGTCTTGGCTAAGGTCTGTGAAAGACCTTAGTGGTTCTCTGTGATAATTCTGGTGAATCATGTTCTCCTCACTTGGCAAGAAGTTCCCCACAGCATACAGGCCCTGATATTTGAACAGCAGTATCAACAACCAATTATGGAAAAAGAAGCATTTTAAGATATTTTAGTTACACTCTTCTGCCAATGTAGAGTTATAGCATTAGTCATTTTAACTGACAGGATATATTCCCTTTCCTCACCCAAGAATTCTTACTCAAAATTCTGTCCTCGTTCTGATGCATCCAGGTATCTATCAAGTCGCCTCAGTATTATAACTAGGGCACATAGTACATGGCAATAAATAGATGAGGAAATGTTTAGCCACCTTCTATGTTCTTTGCTTTATATAGCAACAGATAATGCTAAAGTAAGAATACATTTTTTTTACAAAAATAACAAAATTAATGTTTTGCAATATTTTGAGCAAGTTAAAGATATTTTACAGCTATGCTATTGTCTGCTCTGATTTATTGAATCTTGTTCCAGCTTGAATTGTTCTCTGCTCTGTGATTCTGTCCTTTCAACTGCATGATAACCACGTAATACAGTATCTACATGATAAAACAATTTATTGACTTTGAATCAATTGTTTTCCAAGCTGAACAGAACCGTAAGGTTAAGTTATGCTACACTTTCTCTTTCAGCAGACTCATTGTAAGACAGTGTCCTTTTAACAGAGCTGAGAGCGTATTTTATGACAGGCTGAAATGCTTGACTCAGGCACTGGGGTTACTCATTCCTTATATTCTTTTCAAGAGTTATTTGTAGTTTCACAGTGTTTCCCTTACCCTCCCCTTCCTCTTATTGATAAGTAGCTTTCAGGACAGAATTACTGACTACTGGGTATCCGGGACAATGTCCCTCTTTGATGTACGTCATCATGCAAGAGTACATGGAGAAGACCTAACAAAGAACATTCTTGTYTGTGGAATTCAAACATGGGAACAGTAACTCCATTTATGAGAATCTTCAACAGCTTAATCGTTTGAAATAATATTCCCAASAGAGAGTTCCTTTCTGCTCACAGTGCAGGAATGGAAACTGACGTCAGTGGCTCATGGGGTTTCTACTGGCTGCCCTGGCTGCTGTCACTTCTACCCCACAGTCACCCTATGGACCATCTGTACATAGATTAAATTGCCATGTCATAGGATATGATCTTATTTTAGTATTGTACAGAAATTCATCATTGACTTCTTGGAGGTCAAAACTGGCTGTTAACACCCTTCTGTTCAGCTGCCCACACCGGAGCCAAAAATGTTCACACAGGTTCCTGATCACTCTTGGGCACCAGGACCGACGTTCTGCTGAACAGCGAGGGCAGCAACAGTGACGGGGGAGGCACCAAGAGCAGCAAGCGAAGGCAAATGTTTGAAGAACCTCCTAGCGACAGATRCAGGGTGACGGATCCCTTATCCCAGCCCGTTTGAGGGGCTGCATCTGCTGTGCATGGAGTAACCTGTTGTGGGCAGCCCACTCCCGCTGCATCATTTCCCAGGCAGCCTCTCACCAAGGCCTCTGGAAAACCCCAGAGGTGTAGAACTGCCTTCAATTTCCTGCAAGGTCAGCAGTTTATGCAGTTGAGGTGCTGTATATTAATTTTGACCATTTTTGAGTTCATAAAGCTAACGCTGGGAATATAAATTTAGGCTAGCAGCAAATACTGATTAATCCAATARTTTTCTTGCAGAGTAGAAAAGTGTGAAGTAAAAATGCTCAGCATCTCTAAGTATTTAATGAAGCATATCATGTTAGAGCTGTTTCTGCATACAATATGGGATCATTATACATCACTATGTGCCGTGTTATGTGTTATAGCACTTAAATTTGAAAAATGTATTAGCTTTTCCTGTTTATAAATGACGATTCTTAACAGTCATCTTCAACACATTTTTAGTATATTTAAAATTTTTGTATGTGACCTTGATGAAAGTTTTCCATAAAACATACTGGTATTCTTACTATATACTTAGAATTTCTAAAATTTACTGCATCCATATTTACCAAATAGAGAGCAATTCCTCCTCCTAAGAGAAAGCCACAGTAAACATCAACTGGATGGTTCTTGTACTGGGTGATACGAGTCAGGCCACATAAAATTCCACAGATGATAAAAGCAAAGACCAGAAGTGGCTTCAGAAGTTTTGAGGAGTCTGTCAATGTAGCATTGAAGTACATCTTAAAAAAAAAAAATACAAAAAGTAGTTCAAGAAACTCAGCCTTACAGAAGATATGACTTTTTTCTTGCATTGAGTATCTCTTAGATACATAGACCGTTATTCTATGTTAATATTTCAGTCATTTTTTTACTAATTTTGTTTTACAGCCCTGCTAAATCTGCTTATTTACTGTAGAAAAATCAGAAATCGCAACAGAGAGATTTCTGAAASCTCAGGCATTGTCATTGTTGCTTATCGAGGTCAATTAGGATACAGATTTTATGCCCAAATACTGTTCACAGTCAGAKCTTAAATGTTCTATAAATGTGTCTAAAGAGTCACCACTTCTGAAACAGAGAAGACAGATGCCGTGCCAGATGAAAGCAGCATCCTGTTCTAGCAAAAGGCACCACCAGCTGCTTTGGAGAACCATTTCTCAGCTGGGGGCCACGATGCCAGGGAAGTCACCAGAAGTAAGTGGAGATGGTTCACCAGCATCATTCCAGCTTGTGGGCTTTCCCTCAGCAGAATAAATGTACGCTGGCAAAGTGCCAATACACCCACAATTCCACTATTGAAATGTTATTAACTGGTTGTTTGAGTTCTATGATGGAATTCCCTTTTCTTTTTCCTTCAAAGAAGGAAAGCATTGGACACCGAAGCTGCAGAAATGTCATTGGTCAGAGATGGGAAATGAGCTGTGATCCCTGCAGCGTGTCCTGCTGCTCCCTGCTTGTTGCTGCTGTTTGCTGTTCACTTGCTCTGCCGTAGCACCTTGGAGGCCTCTGGCAGTCGTGCCATTCCATCCAGCTGCAATTCCATGGAAGCCGAATGAAACTAGATCACAAAGGTTTGATTCTTAAAGTTCAAAACTGAGTCAAGTGAAGACAGCAATAAATAAAATATTAATTTGAATGATAAACAAAAATATCATGCTATGAATCAGGTAAACAGTATATTCTCTGAGAATAGCATGAAGAATTAAATATACTTTAATTTTACAATCCACTACAACAGATACTGTTGCTTGTTCACAGAGAGTGTGGACCAGTCATATCCTTACTATATTCTTAGTAGGCCTGCTTTTATTTTAGCTGTTAGTAATTTCAATTTTGCTGTCAAACCATCAGGATAAGAACTCAGATCCTTCCTGCATTAGGTAACACACCACTTTACAGCAAATGACATTCTGCCTTTTTTTCTTATATAAATGAAAGTGAACAAAGTTGATTACTCACCGAAATGTACACAGCTGCAAAGGCTGCCAGGGTGGCATGTTGAGAAGGGAATGACTTTCTGCCAAGGAAGGACACTCAAATTATGCTTCTCATTTCAAAAACACTGTACTAGTATTCAGTTGGAAAAAAAACACTGGGTGGTACAGTCATTTTCAGCTTATACATCCTAAGTAGATCCTTAACATTTCATTTCTAAATTCCTTTTCTGAGGTCTGCAGAAAGGACCAAAAATAATGCTTTTTTTTTTTGATTAAATATTCAACATTAAAGTCTTTTTGTAAAATAGGAAGAGTGTGAATGAACTAAAGACCAGATGATTGATTTTTAAGAGAGAAATTTCTATAAATAAATTTCTGTAATCATTCTTCAGTAAGTACCTAGTTATGCAACTTCTTTAATGCAAGAAGCTGGATCTTATGATTTGTCTTACTGATATTGCTGGGGCTCTTTTCAGTAGAAGGACTCATCAGCTATATAAATGCTTTAGTAATCAGTCCTTAACTTTGGCGATGAAGTAATATGAAACAAGACAGTACCTCTATGAAGACTGATGGTAGGATAAATAAAGGTCTTTTTTCCCATGGCATAATAGGTCTACAGACCTCTTATAATTTGAAGACTTAAGACTTACAGCCCTCTCTTTATCCCTTGATATGTCTCTCACTGGCAACATGAAATAGCTTGTGTCCTGCTTTTTACTGTAACAGTTGAGGTTTGACAGGACACTGTGAGAGGCATCCTTATTTGCTATGTTTTTGTGTTACTTTTCACTAACTTTCTAACTTTATAACCTAGCAGGTATGAATGAAGTTCAAGCACTCGGAGAGGACATTTTAAAGGCTATGAAGCCTCTTCCTGAAGTGGAGATCAAGAGGGCAAATGAAAATGTGTCAAAACTCAGTAAGACAACAGACAAAATCAAGGTATCTTTGCAAAGTTGTTGAGGACTTTCTTCTCCCACTGAAGGGCTAGGGAATTAACTGGTTGAATAGTCATTTAGCCTCTCGGGGGGATTTTGGTGCCCTAACTGGGTTTCATGTTTCTACAGTCATTCTGCTAAGAGCACCTAGTTTAGTATTTTAAATAATAGCAGAAACTGAAATATAGGCCTTTGCCCCTCAGTCAAAGGCTTGTTTTTTCCCTTGCAAAGCAGCAGCATCTGCTGCTCTAATTTTTTTTCCTATGCATTTTAGTTTGTCTGTTCTAAATAACTCACTGGCAATTAAACGTGTGCAAGTAGTTCAGTGTGAATGCCGTGCTGCTGACCTCAATTTGAGCCCATGGCTCCGGCAGGGCCTTGACTCTTTCCAAGCTGAAATCAGCATGATGCCTTTTCATTACTAAAGGCGGATTTCTAAATCTTCTCAGTTTTTATATCTGAACAAACCTTTCACAGTGGAATCCAGTGAACGAGCTCAAGGTTGAGGACATGGACAGGAAACTAAAGACATGAAATAACTGTAAATGTTTATAATGGCTAATCAGCTCCTCTCCCTGTGCAGGTTTTAGTGTAAGCATAAATCTACTTMCAGTCTGCGTGGAGCTAATAAGTAGATTTGATTCTATGAATTTTAGTACCATTCAGGATTTAACCTTCATTTGACAGCAGTTCTGTGGCACATAAAGTATGTCACTACGCAACATRATTTTCTATTTATTCTGCTTTCTATTTATATGCTTTCAAGACAAGCACACCATGTTACAGAGTAAAAATATTTGGTGTGCTCTGTAATGGTGAAACTACTTTTGTTCTTCTCTGTTATCTATTAATCTAAAATGAAAGTAATTCAAGCTAAAATACATATAGCCTTTTTGTATAGCTGTATTAAAAACAGATGTCTCAGAGAAAACATATCCTGAACTCAGAAGACAGTATATCACTCTGCTTATGCTTGAAGATGGGTGGAGGGGGAAGACAGATGAGAGTCATACAGAACATGAGAAATGACACAGGATATAGAATTATTAGGGATTTCAATATAAATGGTGAAGAGACTCTCTGAAGACAAACAGAGAAAAGAGGGACAAGCAAACCACTGGATATTGAGGGATGTTGCAGAGTTATTCCATGCAGTTAGCTGTATGCTTACATATGCTTCTCTCTGTTTTGCATAGGGGAGTCTAGAGACAAATTTGTGGAGCCAGAGTTTCCAGGAGGTACAAATCAAAACTGAAGACTGTTCTAACAACTTCCTTACAAGCTGGAATTGCTGCCATAACAGATGATTGAGGGGAGGACTGAAACGGTAACAATGCTGACTACTGTGCTGTAAGTAGAGAGAGACATCAGGAAGCAAGAATTTATTAGAGCAAAGGTGCAATAAAATTTAATTAAGGTGAAACTGAGGGTGGTGCCAGGATATTACAGATCACCAAATGGATCCTCTGTGATAGGAATGATTTAGAGAAATCAATTTAAGGTCATCTTTGTAAGAATATATGGACATAGAAGAAATGACTGCTTAGCCTTCATCTGTTATAACTAATGTAACTGGTTTTTGGGAAGCGATGGTATTTAGATTAGGAGAGATGTAGCAACAGACACCATATTAAGAGCTTACAAATGAAATGAATTGGGATGTAATAATGCATGCAGAATAAGAARTGGAGAGCTTTAGTGGAGACATGACAGAAATGACATAGCTTCATACCTGCTAATCAGTACAGAGAGAAATTATGTAGCTTAAGACAAAAATTGTGAACATTTCAAACATTCTGTAATTTTGCTATCTTTTGGGGGAGCTGGAAATTAAATAAGCACTACATAAAGAGGAGAAAAAAAGTAAAAAAAAAGGAAAGACTGCAAAAGATTCAGAGGGCTGCAATATAAATGACTAACAGACAAGAGAGGTTACCTTGTGAAAAAGATAAGGAAGACTGATGCTGTATTCAGTGGAGAGAAGAGCTTTATGATTTCTCCGTGGGGAAGTACATAAATTTAGGACACAGTAATAAGGCCGTTGAACTAAGGATTAGCAGGTGTGTCTGTGTGTGTGTATATATATATGCGCACATCTATATGTATATGTGTGTGTGTATATATATATTATATGATTTAACACTCTAGATACTTTGTTTAAATCTATAACCTCTCATCATTAATTGAGAATTATCACCATTTTATCACACCTAAGTTGTTTAAACAAGGTATGTAGTGTAGATTATATTTCAACCTGAATGATATGCAATTTCCAAAATCTGTTACTATACAAAATATTGATATCTTAGATGCAGTCTAGGTGGGGACACTAAAGAGTAAATGACCAGGGAGGATGAATCACAAGCTAGGAATCCTATGAAACCAGATGCATATGTTTAGGACACAGGTTTACACTGCTATGGTCTTTTCTYTGATGAATGAATTTTCTCAATAGCTGTCAGTATCAAAAATCTAGTGCGCCACAGAAATGGAGACCACTGGTGCAGCACTGAAATGGAAACCAAATAAAGCCAAACAAAACCCAAAGACAAATGTGAATAACTAAGCCTAAAATGCCAGGACAGTAATGTATAGAGATCTCGGTTATTAAGTGCTTGGGTAACTTCTTCCCCTACTTGCTACAGGGAACTTTTGCAGACCGTACTCAGAGAAGCATTAGAAACATTTATTATTATATAATTATATATTACATATTGTGTGTATATTGTACATATAATGTACATATATATTACATAATGCATATATATAATATTATACGTTAATAATTGTATAGAAAAGCGTGTTGCTTCTGAAGGAGAGGAAATAACTAGCTACCCATAACCTTCTGTCCCATTTCTCAATTGGACAGAAAAGCTTCCAAAGCTCACTGTTGGCCTAAAATCTTTATACAGAAATATCACTAAAGAGATATAAAAATTCTCAGCTTAATTATAAAAAGATCTCAAATCTCATTCAGACTTTAATTAGAAATTAAGTCTTGAAACTAGGACAGAAAATAACAAAGAATGCTTTAAAATGTACATAATGAAGGATAAAACTAACCTTCCAGCAGTGATAATATTGACATCAGTTCCAGAGCAAATATCTTCCACAACGTAGGAATTCTCTGAGCAGGATACATTTAAGGATGTATAGTTAGGCTTGCAAACAGTCAGGAAATAGGGTGTCTGATATCCTGTTGATAGCTGTATGATATCAGTAATAAGAGCAGTAGAACAAAGACCAAACACATGAACACCTAGGAGAGAAATTGGCAAAGCTTGTTAAATGTATTATGATTTTTATACGTGCATAACAGATGAATTCATTGTGAGAAATACTTTCAATATGAGGATTTAACCAAAGAATCATTTTTTTTAATGAAATCTTATTTCAAAGCTAAATTCTTTAACATTTAAAAAAAAAATTTATTTATGATTAGAAAATTGAATTTGTTTTCTTCCAGTTGATAAATAACATTTATTTGTGATGGTCTGGCATTCTCCAACATCTTTGTACGTGAAGTATACTACACTGGAGCTGCTTCCATGTGGAACGCAATTTGCTTTGTCGACTCAAGGACAGCCGTTATATGGGCATATGTGCTCATTAAATCCTTGGATTTTCCCACTCAAATTGGTGTTTTTTTAACAACACAGACACCTGCCCAGTAGTTCACTGCTGTGAGGAGCTGCTGTCTTTTTTACCACCAGACTCATCAGCTGGCAATAAGCTTGGCTACCTTCACATCTGGGGTGGATTTCCTGCATGCCAAGGCCTTGCCATTCTTTGCTTTCTTGATCGTGGAGTTCATAACCTCTTTGGCCACACACTCCAGCACTTCCCTGCTTGCCAGCCTATGGAAACCTAGTGGATAGTCGTCCTCCTCCTGGGCTTTCACGATGCCTGCCCTGTAAGTTCTTATTGCTCAGGCTGCTCTCTATAATGAAAGATTTCTGCAACACACAAAACCTTTCCTTAGGCCACTCAGTGACAGAGGAACTTTACTGTAACAGGGGAGTGAAATCCAGTTGCCCTTTCAAATTCAGTTTTAGTCACTGTCAGTTAAAGGAAAGTAAAATTCACGATATTCCTTTGTAGTATTAGCCTAATAGGCTCTAGCCATTTTTCAAGAGATAGATAAACATGTCCCAGAAAGTCAAATCCGACAGTTTCCGGCAATTTGTTACTGTCATGCTGTTCCTGAATACTCTGTTAGCTGGGTTGGGACCTTATAATGCACTGAAGAGATGTGGGAGAAATAATTAAAAGAAGTCAGCGCAAGATGGAGGAGGAGGGAGGAAAAACAAATGCTTCCTTTAGCAACACTGGCAGTAGTGTAGCGGGGGAAAGGGAAAATGGAGAGTGTAGACAGTGCATTAATGAATTTGGGGTTTCTCTGTCACTCTGTTTGAGTTTCTTCTCAAATTTTCCTGGCAGATGAAGATCTGTGCCAGTGAGAGCCCTGCACTGTTCTAAAAGACTTTTTCAGAGAAGGAAACCTGCATGATGAAAACTGAATGTACATGGAAGACTCTTCTTTGTAACCACCATTTGAAACGCACCAACAAATCTGACAGCTCTTCTAAGAAAAGAATTGAAGTTGCATCCTCCTGCATTAATATTGGCCTCTGTTCCAATCCCATTTCTTCTTTTGGACAGGCAGCAGTAGAGAATTCCTTCTCCTACCATTATCTGCAATGACAAAGGAGCTGTTAAGTTAAATGAAGCAGTTATTCGGAAGACAGTGATTGAATTTAAAGGGCTGAAATATAATTATAACACAACAAATGTCATCCACCGACATGTACCTGCTTTTAAAAGATTTGTATCCATATGTAAACATTCAGTAATGCAATTTAGCCTGAGTGGGAGCAGGCAAGAAGGTGGTGCTGAAGTTGAATGTAAGTGGCATAAGGTTTTGGAAGGACACTTTTATTTTTATTAGATATGTCTAAAGTGCTCAGCAGAATAGGGTTCTTGATCTGCATTTGAAATTTTATGCTTCTACACTGGAAGAGTAATAATTAGAAAATCTCTCCTCCAAGGGTAATATCTTAGTGCTTCTAAAGTGGTTTTAGTGCTCAGTCTTGGCCTCATGCCTAGCAATCCCTGCTGGAAATCCCTGGCAGCTTCTACCTGTCCGGCCACTTGATCTTCCCAATTGTTAGTTTTGGCCTGGGTTTTAACCAGATCCACAGCTATAGCAGAAGTGGCCCTCTGAACACACCAGGCAAAAGAGATGCTGATGACTGAAGCCCTGGAGAAGAGCTGAGAAGAGAAATAAGAAGAGAACTATAAATGAAAACAAAATGTTACTTGCTTGAAAGCCTGGAACCAGTCACAAGTTTGCAATTTCAGGTTGAGTTTGTTCTTCCTGTTAAATAGTGCAACCTGGAAATCTCTAGAGGGCTGAATCCAGGCTATGTTGAAATGAATGAGGCAGTTCTCACCTGTGGGAGGAGATTGACTCTGTCTATCTATAGATGCAGCAGAAAAGTAAACAGTCAACACTAAAAGCTGCAAAACAGTGCACTGAGATGCTAAAAAATCTGAATTATGAAAAATGTGCTGTAATTATCCATTAATTTTGTACACATTGAGACCCCTACACTTGGAAGAAGGGAGATACAGTGGGCAAGCCTAGTTTTAAACCTTTTCTATAACTGATTGTTAACTGATTCTACTTCTTTCCAGAAAAATGAAGCAGTTCTCATTACATGGAAAAGTCAGTGATTAGGGATATTTAAGGAATTTTATTAGATGAGAACTACAGTCACTATTATCTACCTCTGGTCACTTTACAGGTCAAACCTTTTCACTAGATAACAGTAGTTTCTTTAATTAAAATAAATCAGAGGAATTTAGATAGCTTTTGCCGAACTTTAGGGAAGCTTGCATAGGAAGAATCACCAGAATGGGAGATTACCTTGTGTGACAGAGGAGAAAATAGGGAAAAGGCAAGGCCTGTGGTAAGACCAAAATTCAGAGGCTGGTATTTCTAAGGAAGCAGTCTCCCAAAACTGAGGAGCCAGCAGGACCGTCTGCTAGAGTCAGCAGTGACTTTCTGTCAGGATTTGATTTTGGCTGCAAGTGCCTGTATCTACAGCACTGTAACTCTTAGGTTCTAGTTCCAAGTATATTTTTCGGTCTGAAAGTTATGCAAAACCATTCAAAATGGCTTCCAAAGAAACCAAAATCAAACACAGCAAGAGGAGTTTAGGGTTTGGTTTTGTTTTGTTTAAAAAGGAAGAATGAAACATGTTGGTGACTGTCAGGAGGATGATTTTCCTATGGACATCATATTTTAGAGATTTTGTTACTGCAAATTCAATGATCTGGTAAGGGAATTTGGTGAAGTTAGCAGGGATGCATTTATAGCTGTCTTTGTGGAGGTGCCTAAGTGAGGAGCACGGCCACTGTGGTCGTGGGAGAACAGAGACCCTTTCAGAAGACTGGTCTCTATTTCTGGTGCCTGACAGTGCTCCTGGAGGTGCCTCTCTCTGTTAGTGAAGATGAACGGTGTGAAAATAATGTTTCTAGCTGAGGTGCCTGAAGTCAGGTGCAGTGAATCCTCTCTAAGATATATAAAAGTGAAGTCTCTGGATTTCATTTTAACTTGACACAGCAATTCCAGAAGGGACTATACTTATCTATATCAGACGTTTTATTTTACTTACTATAGTGTCCAAACTGATCGTATTTTGACAGGAATTTTTTTTTCTGCTGAAATTGTGTTCTCCCTCTAGATGAGCCACTAAACCAGTTTCCTTTTTGCCTGCTCATAATGACAGATGAAGTCACAACTTAGATTCCTGTGCTGTTTTGGAAAGCACAACAGTGCTGACCACTAACAATACCAATATAACTTCTCCCCGAGAAAAAGCTAGTTCTACAGAAAGTGGTATGTGTACGACTGTAAATAAGAGGCTCCCATTTCCAGCAAAATCCTGAATTTAATGTAGTATCTCACAGTATGGAGATGTCTGTAAGCAGCTCAATTCTATCACGTTTGTCCAGCATAACAGTGGTTACAACTGCTTTGCACATAAGTGTAAATGCCCAGAGAACTGTTCCTCCACTTGAACGTGCACCATCAGGGCAGCATGAGTGAACAGGTGTTAGAGGGAATGTTTTAAAGAGGGTATCTGAGTATCTTCTGCTGCTACAAAGGAACAAAARGTGAGGTTATAGTTCTAAGGAAAGCTAAAGAGCCTGGATGACACTGGAACCTAGCTGAAGCTATAGAAGCTACTTTTCCTCATGCCAGCTGAAGCTCTATTCAAAGTCTTTTATAAGTGACAGTGACACCTCAAACTTACCGTAATGGAAGGTGCAGCAAAAACCAAACTAAGCAACATCAAGAAGGGAACAGCCTCTTGTGTAGGTTCAATGTATGGCATACTCAAACTCTTGTCATAGCAATTAAATCCAGAGTGAACTGGCTTGAAGACATCAGTAAGTTCAAGAAAATAGAGGCTAACAACAGAAGATGCCAATATTGGCAACTAGGAAGAGAAGAAAGCGACAAATTATTTTTCAGAAATGGAATAGCAGTGCTTTTGCATAAACACCATAGTCTGTTCATCTCTGCAAAGTTTGTTATTTCTGTGCTGCTTGTAATTATCAATTTTACTATCTTTAAATAATTCATTCTCTAGATGCATGATACTGATGAGTTGCTATCAGGTAACCCTGTTGTCTACCGAGCTAGTCAAAATACCTGATCCTATTTTCAACCTCCATAATTTAATCCTTCTATGTATGAATCATTCTTGGCAGACTGATCTTTTTTCAAATAGAAGCCTGAGGTCTCCCATGGGGGGCCATAGGGCTCTGCTGTTCAGCATCACCCTTGATTTGGGCCTTTAGCAACTCCCTGTCATGCGTAAGACAGTATTTATACTAAGACCAACTGCATTTAAATTGCAAAATAACATTTAATGGAGAGGGAAAAAAAAAAAAAAAAAAAAACACGCTATCCAGGGCTTCCCTGGAAACTGGCATATGTGGTAATATAGTGTATTGCCTTTTCCTGTTCATTTTAGTAATTCTGCCAAAAAAAAAAAAAAAAAAAAATCAGTCTGCATAGAGCCACCACCAGGTTTTAACTTCTAGGTATTTAATGGTTTTTCATGATTACTTCCATTTATTGAGAAGTTAGTCTCTGTGGGTATAAATTCACCCCAGCTTGCCACTGGCTCTGGAAAACAGAGCTCGTGCCAGCAGGTCTCTGTGGAAGGAGCTTGTTCAAGGGAAGCAGTAGCCAAGGAGGCCACCGATTCTCCAGCCTGTGGTTTGCGAGAGAGTAGATAAGGCAGCTCTACCCCTGTGTGTYGGGAGGCACTCAGGGAGATCCAGGAGCTTACAGTAGTTCCCTGCATCCTTTTCTAGAATGTCTACTAAATTCTCAATTAAATGTTTATCTTTTTTATTTCACAGAGTTCTCACTAAAGATGGCCATGCTACAGTCACTGCCTGCTTCTCCACTGAGATGTGATGACTCCCTCCCTATGTTCCTGTTGCAATGAAGGTACCTATAAATAATGGGATATCACCTGCCCATCCTCTCCCCCACCACCGTTTTTTTTCAGGTGGTTACCACATTGCCTAGCCCTCACTTTTAACTGCTGCTGAAAAGCACTAGCTTGCAACTACTAAGTCAGCTTGCTTATATTTTGTACTACATAATATATAAATATGTAATATTACACATAATAATTACAACTTATAATAAACATGTGAAGTATAAAATACAACATGTAAAATATGCATTATGTATTATAATATAAATGCTCTATGCTATATAAATATACATTTGTAATATATTGGATTGATTGTATAAAGCTTAAATAATTTGCCYCATGCTTCCTGGCCAGCAGAGAGAGTCAAGTTCTTTAGCTGGATGTCTTGCTTAGTCTCTGCTCAGCTCATGCTGGACACGGCCCGGGTGACTGTCACGCACCCTGCACAGCCAGTCAGCAGGGGCAGCCCCTTTCTGGGCTGTCCCTACTTGTGCAGGGGAGGCAGGGAGTCTCCACAGGTCCTCCTGGGCACTGACGTTCTACGTTCTACGGGTTTGAACTCGTGCCTACCTCACCTTCACTTCTGTAGAACATTTAGTGTTGAGGCATTTGCAGCATCTTTTACCATTAATTATCCCAAAGTGGTACCTAACTGACCTAACCAGGATTCAGATCCCACAAGGCAAGGCACAAGCCTATTCCAGTAAGCTAAATGGACAGGAATAAACAATGGGTCTGTTACCCTTCTCAGAAACAATGCCCTTTTTATCCAGATGTCCCGAAGGTCCATTTCCTCTGATGGAAACCTAAACTGGGAAGACTCGTGGGGCACTTTGCACTCAGAATTTTTTCTCCATTGTGTATCTTTCCATTTCTTTAATGTCATGAAAAGAAAAGCCTSTCTGAGAACAAGCTCTTGCCTTACCCACCAGTAATTATTCTCATTATGGTTTTCTTAGATAAGCAACCATTTTAAATGGCAATACTAARCTATTATAAATAGGTCATATTTGAAGTGATATTTCATTGTGAGTTATTAAAATAGATGATGAGGTGGTTAACTTTCATTATTAAAAAACAGTATTTGTGTTAAGTATAATTTTATTGTTAACTATAAAACAAGGAATGACAAAAATTTCATTTCACTGTCTTATGGCTCCTCTGAGCTGTGCACTACAGGACTACCATGTTATTTCTGACTATAATTACCCATTCCCTGAAAAGAAAAGAGTTCTGAAGGACTGCAAATACCCAACATAACTGCTTACAACCCTAATGAATAGGTTTCTAGTCGACTTGCTATACACAGTATGTCAGAAGCTACAGGACATTTTTCTTCATACCTTTAAAAAATATAAATATAAAACGCATCTTCAAAAGGCTAAAGAAAAGTAAATGCCTCTACAATCTTCTAAAGATTGTAAGTGGCTATTTAATGTATGAATATTTATTGAGTGTTCTGCTTAAGGCAGCAGTAGCTCTGTTAATTACAGACTTCAGCTCACAACACCTTGGAAATGTCAAATATAATTAGATGGTATAATGTATATTGTTTTAATTACAAAGTGGAATAGGAATTTTCCTATTCCTCATTAGAATAATAAACCCTCCAACCTCAGCTTACATATCTTGACTAATAAGTTTTTATGCTCTTGCTTCCTTAGTTGGCTAATGGAGAGAGGTTCTTGTTTGGCCAGAACTCTGTTTTTAATATAGATAGAGTTCATATTGCAAAGATCTTGCTGTATTGAGTTAGATATTGTGCAAGCATGAGAAAAGATGAATTTTACTCCCAAAATTGAAAATCATGCTCAACAAGGATGGAAATACCTAGAATAAGGTTACAAGAGTAAGGAGAACAATAAAAGGTAAAAGGTTCCATTTTTTTACATATTGCAGGACAAAGCACAAGGCATCCCTGAATGAAATCCTGAAAAGCCAGGAGGGATGATCCTCTCTGAAGCAATGCTGCRTGCAAGAGGTCGTGCCCAGGGCCATGAACCAGGAACGTACATCACATACTGCAGATGGCTGAAAGAAGAGACGGCTGTGAGAGCAGTTCAGAGGTGAGAGAGAACATTATCATCACACCAGTGATGGCCATGGTCCTGACACCACTGCAGGCGCTGGCTTCATTAGTTCTTTTTCTGTGCACCTGTGAGCATTAAGATTATGTGGGAGCCACCGTGCCAGTGCAGGTCATTGACAGTCATATGGTATAGCCTGCACCTGGACCACACCAGGACTGTGAAATGTCTGTATGAGTAGTTTTCCATGCCCTTGATTGCATGAAAAAAGGAATCTGTAAGACCTGCAGCCCAGTAAATATAGTACTGCCATATCTAGTTAATAGGGCACAGATTTCATACTGAGTTTGCGAGGACCCAGGACTGAGGATTGTCAAATGTGCTTTTTCTGAACTTGTCTTGATCTAGGAGCACGTTATTTGATTTAGCTGTTAATGCTCCCCCCTTTCCCCCCCCCCGCAATGATCAGGAGGCATAATTTGTTTTATTCCCCCATATGTTTGTATGGTACAACTCTGTGCCATTGGGAAGAGCATTAATTGACCTCTGCTATTTTTACTACCTCAAGTTTGCAGGGGAAGATCAAGATGCATTGGAAAAATCCTGTTACTGGAGTAGATGGAAATCTAAACAACATAAAGTTGTCCTCTGGACAGCTCAGCATCTGGGTGATGACTTTGGCCTCTGGCCTGTCACCAGCTCTAGGACCTTTAATTTTCCCACCCCACAGCATCTCTGCAACGCCCTACATCTCTAATTCAGGGTGCTTGCTCCTCCTAGAGAATTTTCAGATATCCAAATCTCCCCTAAAGCTACATGCATTTCACAAGCAACATTTATAGACAACAGTAGCAAGCAAACACTGATGGTTTCCTAAATGACACCATAATGAGGTGGTGAGGCTCAAACCAAAAAGGAGGCAACATCCAAGTTCCACAATTGCTTTATTATTGTGAAAGAATACACAATCTGATACACATTAGCACTGCAAAATTCTTTAAATCATAGCTTCTATAAATTCCCTTTCTATAAAACTGTACACTAGCAGTTACACATCTGATACTTACATTTTAACTAATATTTAACTAAGCAAAGAGTCCATATTTATCTTCAAGTGAGTAACATCTTAAAATCCATACTTTCTGCGAGTGCCACCATGGAGTGTCACATACTTGAGTGAACATGTGAACCTTGGTTTTGGGAGATGCAGTCACGTGGCCTCTCTCAGTTTGGCTACAAGGCAGTGCAGACTCTATCTTCTATCTGTGAACTCATATCCGGATCCTCTGCTGTGAAACACTGCTGTTGTTGTGTTGCACTGTGTCGGTGGCTGCCAGCAGATAGTCTTTAAATGTGGCTACAAAAGTAATTATCCTGGGTTATATTTCACTCAGGCTAAATAAGGGAAAAATGAATTGCCTCTTGTTCAGTCACAGTTAAATACTGAAGTCACTGCTCAGTGCACAGGCCTGAATGGCTTGAGTGGTTTTCCTGGAGACTSACTGCAAATACAAAGACCATGGAATTGATTTGTTTTACCTGCCAGTGAATGAAATAATACGATAGGCAGAGCAAGAGAAGCAGCATGTATGTGTGCACGCAGCTTTCTGAGGAAGCCAAGGCACAATCTACCAGATGCAGACTAAGGATAGCATGACTAGGCTGCCTGGTGAGAAGGGTTAATGGATGCCTGATGGGCTATTTGGGGAATGGATTGTTTATATTTGGAAACATTTTTTTTTTCTTATCTTTAGACTTCAGTAGGTAACCAGGCTGGCCAAGAAYTGGAAGCAAAGAAACTTGTTAGATCCTTAGGCTCTTCTGCAACCACAGAGGCACGGGATTCCTAAGCATGGGAGTTGCCCCCTTGCATTTCTCTTGTCTTCTGGGAATCGGGGATTTTTGTACATAATGAAGCAAATAAACAGGACTATCTCATAGAGATAGCCAATGACT